ACTCTAACACTTATTTTTTCTTTTTTTTATCATCTTTGTCATTCTAATATGTATAGGATGGAACCTCAGAATTGATTTAATTTGCATTTCTCTAGTTAGTAGTGATTTGGAGTGTGTTTTTTACATGGCTACATATATATTGTCTAAGTTTCTTCTGTTCATATCATTAGACCATTTATCAACTAGGGAATGTCTCTTTCTTGTAAATTATATCAGTTACTTATATATCTTGTAAATAAGGGCTTTATCAGAGAAACTGGCTGCAAAGATTTTTTTTCTGTTAGTAAATTAGTAAGAAAAATAAATAAAAAACAAAATTAGTAATAAAGTACAACTTTATTATGCACTAAATACTCAACATTTTTTCCTTTCATTAGAATGTATACTTTTCTGAACAGAGACTATTTTTTGCCTTTTCTTGTATCTTCAGCAGTTAATACAGAGCCTCGCACATAGTAGAAGCCTAATAAATACTTGTTGATTGATGGCCAACAAGCACACTAATGCACTTTTGGTAGAGTTATGAATTGGTTTCACCATTCTAGAAGGCAATTCAGAGCTAAACTCCCAAAGTCATAAAATTGTGCATATCCTTTGTTCTAGCACTAACCATTGGTAAACATACACCCCTATGAATTAAAAATAAAAGGAAGGGGACCCATGTATATAAAAATATCACTTGTTGAGTCATTTCAGTTGTATCTGACTCTTTGTGATCCCATTTGGGATTTTCTTAGCAAAGATACTACAGTGGTTTGCCATTACCTTCTTCAGTTCATTTTATAGATGAGGAAATTAGGCAAACAGAGTTAAGTGACTTACCCAGGTTCACAAAGCTGATAAGTGTCTGAGGCCAGATTTGAAGTCAGGTCTTCCTGACTTTAGGCCTTGTTCTCTATCTACTGTGTTACCTAGCTATATCAACACTTGTTATTAAGGTAAGGATTATAAGCAAAGTATTTGCCCATTAATTGGAGAAATAGAACAAATTATGGTATATTAGTGTAATGGAATTATATTACTGGAAGAAATGACAAAAGAGATTATGTCACAGAAACCTGGGAAGACTTGTATGAACTTATGAAGAGTAAATTGAGCAGAACCAAGAGAATAGTGTATACAGTGACTACAAGGAGTGCAGCTTTTTAAAACTTATGAACTTTGATCAATGCTATAGCCTATCTTAAAATCAGAAGCTTGATGAGGAAGCATATTTACCATCTTTTGGTGGAGAGCTGATGGATTGTAGATGCCCAGTGAGATATATATTTATAGCCACTGACAATGTATAAATTTCTTTTATGTGACTATAGTTATTTGTTACAAGTGACTGTTTGCAGATATAGTTATGGGATCAGGCGAGTAACTGGGTGTGATAGTTATTCAGAAAAGAAAAAAAATAGATTTAGTGAAATGGATTTTTTAAAAAGCCAGAAGAGAGCCATAGGAAATTTAGAAGCCAACCGAGTCAGAAAGGGGAGTTTTATTATTATTATGTTAAATTTAACATACACTTAACAAACTACTAAATGAGAGAGAGAGAGAGGAAAAAAAAACCCTCACCATACCCTGTTTCTAGTTTCAGCTTTGGCATTTGCTAACAGTTATGACTTTGGGCAAGCCCAGGTTTCTTCATCTGTGTATAATGGAGACAATCCTCCTTTCTGTTGTGTTGTGAGGTTCAGATGAGACAATGTATTTGAGCTTACTTTGTAAACTATTAAGTGCAGAGATGAATGTTGGTGATATTATCTGTAATTTATCACCTTTAACATTCCTTGCTTTTTTTCCCTTTCACCCTCAGGTTAGACATAGAATTCTTCAATTTTCTGTTATTAAGAAAGGTTGGGGTTGAGATTACCTTACTTTTGGTGGAGTTGGGTAGTAGTAGGTGGTATACTTTCCTCTTACTGGCTACTGTTGCAGTATTGGGCAAGAAATCAGAGGTGAAAGTAAAAGTAATGGCACTTGCTTATTGTTGCTCAGTAGGGGCCTATGTAGTTAGAAATCAAGGGTTCTTGCTCAGCTACTGATATACCCAATATGTAAGTCTTTGACAGTTGGGAAGCATTTTTTAAGCTTGAAAAGATGGATTTATCATGATACCTGATAAAAATTTTTCTATGTGATGTATTAGGCTGTTAAGATTTCATTTCTATTCATTTCTTTGTTAAGTTTTCCCCACGTTTTGAGCAACTGGTTCTTTGGAAAAGTCTTAATTGGGTGTTCCTATAACATTTTAATCTTAGGCTTGGCTAAGATGGGAGCTGGACATAATTATAAATGCATGCTTTACAACAAATCTAAATGGCTGATGTATTACATGTATTATTATAATGTATATAGTATTCTCTTACCACCACTCAGAGAACCAAAGCCTTGTAAATGATAGTTGAGAAAATTACCAGAGAGTCAGTGAGTATCAGTCTCATTAGTGTTCTTGCTCCAGTTCAGAAGAAAGGGTTTTATATAGTTCCCTTTTGTCCTTTGATATTCCTTTACCTACACATTATAATCCATATTGAATTTCTGCTCTTTCCTAGTAACATTCTCAGAACATGCTTCAGTTTCCTTCCTTCTAATCCCCTAATTTTAAGATATAAGTTTATTACCTACCTTTGGGCCTCTTCTCTATCTGAAGTTCATATGTTTTACTTTTAGGAAAATTAGTCTTGGAAAATCCCCAAATGATCCCAGATGACCACATTATGTATATGTACACAATTAAATTCATTTAGGAAAGATCATTTCTGCTATTACTTTAGCATTAATAAACTAAATTATAACTCAGAAAAATCTAGGTAAAGTTGATTGGTTGATCTGCTCATAGTGGTAGTGAAAACTTTGTTTATTATTAACTGAATAGCTATATGTTCAAGATATATACCATAGCTAGATTTAGATAGAGTGTTAGATCTTGAGTCAAGAAGATTCAAATCCTGTGTCAGACCTACATGACCTTGAGCCAGTTATTTAACTCCCTTAACCTCAATTTCCTTGTCTTCTAAAATGAGGGAGCTGGACTTAGTGACTTGTAAGGTCTCCCCTCCTGTACTAAGTTTATGATCCTATGATTCTATGAAGTATCTCATTTCTAATTCTAGATAATCCTATCTAAATTTATATAATTTAATTAACATCTCATAAAGTGAATAAATGAAAAAAACTTGTTTATACTTACTGTGTGCTAAGCACTATGCTAAGTATGGGGATACAAATATAAAAGTGAGGCTGCCCCTTCCCTTTAAGGAGATTACATTCTAAATGAGAGTAACAAAACAGAAATAAGTGGCCAAGGAAAGAAGTTATGGTTTGGGAAGTTGCTAAGTGAGTAACCATAGGGTGAGTAAAACCTTGGGGAAATCCATTAACATACCCTTTCTGATTTGTTTTGTTTTGTTTTGTTAGGCAATTGGGGTTAAGTGACTTGCCCAGGGTCACACAGCTAGTAAGTTTGAAGTGTTTGGTCTGAAGCCAGATTTGAACTCAGGTCCTCCTGACTTCAGGGCTGGTGCTCTATCCACTGCATCATCTAGCTTCCCCAACATGCCCTTTCTGGAGGCTTTTTTCATGTTAATTTGATTCTAGTTCATGATCATAGTAAGAGGTTGTTGTTTTTCCTTCCTTCTCAAAGAGACCATGACATCAGGGAGATGATGCCATAACATGCAAGTGAATTGGATTTAAGTGAGGGAGGGCTGTGCAAAGTCACCAGCTTCACTTTGTCCTCCAGAGCTGTCTGGGTTCAGTGGCAAGATATAGATCAGGACAACTGGAGATAGCCTTGGATGCAGTGGGAGACCTTGGCCTAAACAGTTGAACCTTCTGTCACTCTCTGTAATCAGCTTTCCACTGGTCCAGTTAAATGCTGAAGAATGCTATTTATTGGTTATGTACTCTGAGAGGGCCAAAAAAATCATATAGACCAAATCTGTACACTACGAAGGGAGTGCTATTAACAACAAAAGGCAATCACTCTCAGTACATTAGTAAATTTGTTTCCCTTTCTGTTTGGCTCCTCACAGTATTTGACTTCCATTCTAGTGAGGGAGAGTCTCCCTGGGCTCTCTAGGAACTGAGGCTGAGAAATTTCCTGACATTTTTCTCCCTCCTATTTTTACCTCTCCTACCACACCACTTAGAGAGGATTTGGAAAAACATCTCCAAGTTCCTCTGGTTTTGTAACTGATGTGATTCTAGTGGGAAATTCCCAGCTGAGTCAAAAGGAGCTAGTGAGACAAGGAAAGTGGCAAGGGCACCAAAATGCATCACATATTATGGAAATGATGGGCATAGAAATATCTCCCAAAACTGTTTCTATAGAAAAGATTCTTTAGAAAACAATTTTTTTTTTGCCAGAGGGGAGGAAGATTATGTGGTAAAGCAACAATGGGTATAAGCTGTTGGGATAGCTCTATTTGGGTCATAGTAAGAAGTGAAAGGTGGAAAAGACTGAAAGTGACGGGTTAAGGTGGAAATGCCTAGTCTCAGGAAGTGCAGAGCCACGTGGTTTAGCTCCTCTCAAGCATGGCCATTGGTGATCTGGTTTGGATGGTAAAGCAGGAATGGGCAGGGCAAAAAGTGGCTGGGATGAAGATAAGGTTGCGTGGTCCCTGAATGTATATTAACCTTGAAGATCAAGTATGTAGATATAAACCAGAGTTAGTCTGAGGATGCAGTTTGATTCATAATAATGCCATGAAGTGAGAGTCCAATCTTGGGCTGCCCTCGTAATTTGTTTTTACTTTAGAGTTACCCTTGGAGATCTCAGACTGTACCAGACTTTTCAGCGCATTCCCTCTGTGGATTTGACATTGATTAAATTATAATCCAAATTGGACTTCTGCTTTGACATGATCACATATGGTATCAGAACATGCTGAAATCGAAATCTGAATAATTTAAATATATTAACATGTACATATGTGCGTATATATACATATGCACACATACACATAATATGCATATATACATACACATATGTATGATTTATTTTTCAGTGTGAATATTGCTGGCTTTGCTGAATATACTCAATCAATGATAGACCATCTTATTGACATGAAGATAAACCACTGGGATGGGCAAGTATCTCTCTGAATATGTGTTTAACTGTGTGTTCTCATCCTTAAAAAAATTTTATTGTTGGTTTTTTTTTCAAATATAATGACTAAATTATTTTTGAAGGTTTTCAATGGGATTATCCATGTTTCTTCAGTTTAAGTACCTGACCATTTTATTTTCCAAAACATACCTATTTGCTGTTAAGTACCCAGAATATCAGTTTTGGTCTCATATGAAGGACTAAAGACCTCTTAAATGCCTATTATTAGTGGATTATCCTCTCTTTTTTTAAAATAACTTTGAGTTCTTAATATAGTGTTTCCAAGGTCATAAATTTATAAATGGATTTGTGTAGGCATAATGGTAGAAAGTTAAATTCAATTTAATGTCAAAGTAACTTTAAATGTACTTACATGGCTTCCCTATGACAGTAGATATGCACATATAGTATCACCACCCTGACTCAGAACTATGATGACAGCTATAGTTGGTCCAAGTTGTCTCATAACAAGATAAGCAGGTTTTAATAGCAAGTTTCATAATTATAGTAGCAGTCATAAGGTATCTCAGCCTTTCATTGGTAGTTAAATCTGATACTTCAAAGGAAAACCCTAGGCATATAATCTAGAACATAAACAGATTATTAGTGTTGCCCGACATTAAAACTGAGTATAAGAAGATTAAATTAATTTCCTGTAGAAAGTTTTGTCACTGGTACCATTTCTTAATTGGAACCAAAGAGAGGTGTACCATTAAGCTCATGAGGAAATAAGCCACTTAATCACATTGCATGGCTGTTCTTTCTCCCAGGTAACAGGCAGGTGTCACTGCTCTTCCTTGTAGAAAGTTCTTTTTAATGTCAGAAGTAGTTCTGTCCCAGCTTTTGAGGTGGTCAGTTCTTTTGAAATGCCCATTAAGCTATACCAAATGGTGTAATAAAGAAGTGAAAATATATAAAGAATGATATGTACATAGGGACATCTAGATTTTTGTGCTCCTGAAGCTGAAAATTTTTGCGTCAAGATTAGATCTATGTTATATATCATATCATCTTTTCTCTGTATTGCCTCCTGGGAGAACACTTGCCATATTTTCTTCTTTGTTCTTAACGTTTCAGAAGTTGTATATATTTCTGATAGTGGAGGTTTAGCTGCCAATGTGAAACTAAAACATCTATTCATATGAGGATAAACCCATAGGATTGGGCCTGGGAGTATTTAAATTATTCTAATTGAAATAGATAATAGGCTGAATCACAGAATTACAAAATTTTAGAATTACAAGCGACCTCAGCAACCGTGTAGTCCAAGTTTTACAGAACAAACCTTTTATTAAGAGGATTTATTCTGTGAAGTTTGGATTCAGTCAAAAGGCTGCACTTGAGCTCTTAGAGCACCACATGTCAACTCAAGTCCACAGATTCCCCACCCTGATCTAGCCCAACTCATAAACAAAAGGAGCCCACACTTTTCTATAACTAAGTGATCATCCTGCCATTGCTTAACTGCCTCCAAGGAGAGGGAATTCAGGTAGCTAGTTCTTTCCTCTTTTGAACAGCTCTGATTATTGGAAAGTTTTTCCTGATAGCAAGTCCTAATTTGCTTATTGTTTCTGATTCTGTCTCTGGACCCAAATAAAACAAGGCTTAATGCCTCCTCTACATGATAGCCCTTGAAATACTTGAAGACAATTGTCATGACTCCCTTAACTAGTTTTCTTTACAGTAAACATGCCCAGTCTCTTCAACCAATCCTCATTCACTCTGATGGATTCAAGGCCCTTCACAACGCTAATTGCCTTCCTCTGGACACTTTAACTTAATCACTGTCATTCTTAAACTGTAGTCCCTAGAATTGAATAAAATATTCCAGATGACATTGGATGAGGGCAGAGTAAAATGGGACAAATTTCCACTTAAAGCAGGTCAAGACATGAACTTGTTGTCCACTATAACCCTCAGGTCTTTTTTCAGAACAGTTGCTTTCTAGCCATGCCTCCTGCATCTTTTACTCGTGAAGTTGATTTTTGTGCCCATGTGCAAGATTTTTTTTAAACATTTATGTCTATTGAATTTCATCTTATGATGAATGATGGATGGCTCAGTACTGTAACATATTAAGATTCTTCTGAATCCTGACTCTGTCACTTAGCATGTTAGGTATTCTTCTCTGCTTTGGGCCATCAGAGATTTATGGGCCTACCATTTCTGTTTGTAGATAGATTACTGATAGAAATAACACAAAGCAGGGGCAGCTAGGTGGCACAGTGGATAGAGCATTGGTGCTGAAGTCAGGAGGACCTGAATTCAAATGCGGCCTCACACCAAACACTTGACGGGTACTAGCTGTGTGAACCTGGGCAAGTCACTTGACCCCAATTGCCTAAAAATAGAAAAGAAAAAAAAAGAAATAACACAAAGCCAAGCAAAGATACCTGGTATATTCTGCTTAATATCTCTTGTCATATTGATATTGAGCCATTATCTTATCATTACTCTTAAAACACTGGCAGTTTGTACTGAATTCATTAGCTTATATTATATATTATATTTCTTCCTTACCTCTTCATCTTCTCCATAAAAATAGTGTAACTTTACCAAAAATTTTGCTAAAATCTAAGTAAACTGTATCCATCACATTTCTTTTAACTAACTAGTTTTGTAATCTTGTCAAGAAAAGAGATTTGGCTTGACCAGTTTGATGAAGCCATGCTATTTCTTTGTAACTACTACTTTCCTCTCTTTTTCCACTCCCTTTTCAGTCCTTAAAAAAATTCTGAATTTTACAAACACTCCAAAAAAGAACATTTTTCTATATAAAACAGAGCAGAAAAATAATTGTATGTAAAATCATGAATATCTCTTATGGCTTACTTTTTATAAAAGTAAAATAACAACAACAACAATAATTGTAATAATAACTAGCATCTGTAATAGCATTTTAAGGCTTGCAAAGTGCTTTAAAAACATTTCTTTTTATCTTTAGAACAACCCTAGGTAATAGTTGCTAGTTTTATTTTCATTTTACAGATGAGGGAACTGGAAATGACAGATGTTAAATGATTTGCCCATAGTCCACAACTAGTTAAGTATCTGAGGCAGAATTTGAATGCAGATCTTCCTGACTCAATTCACTACATTACCTACCTGTCTATATTTTATAAATTCAGTGTGTTACTTTCAGAGTTTTCTTGCTTTTTTGTATTTCCTTCTGAACTTTCTTCTTTTCTCTTCCATGCATTTTAAAATGCTTCTGTGACCTTCATTTCCTTTTGGGGTAGAGGCAACACTATTGTTAGCCCCCTTTCAAATCTCTTCTCACCCTTTCAGATCTCTAGCTTTCCCTTTCAAATCTCTTCTCTGTCTCAGTAAAAAAAAACAAAAAGAGGAAAAACCAAGTCTTTGTAGCCAATTAGTATAGACTAAACAAATCCACTTAGTGACCATATCTAAAACTGTGTATCTCATTTGCACCAGCCATACCAATAGGTTTACTTTCAATACTTAGCCATTTGAGCTCAAAGCTGAGGCATTTACTGAAGTGCATACTATGAACAATAGTAACAAAACATTTCCTTCATAAATCTGGGGTTTCCTGAAACATATGTCACATTAGCAGGAAGAAAGGGAGGCACAAATGTAGAGAACACATGTGAACTAGAGAACTCTAGTCTCCAGTGTGCAGAGCCCCAGTGTCTTTCTCACACTGTTCTTCTGGGCACAGCAATTCTTCTGGAAAGTCCACTCTACTAGATTCCCTAGACCTGTTCCTTTATGTAGTTAAACTGTCTGTTGCAAGACACCCTTGCCAAAGGGCAAGGGAAAAGAAATCCTCTCTCTCCTTTGCTCTATTGTCCAAGAGGCACAGTAACGGAGGTGAAGGGCAAGTCCTCAAAAACTATATTTTCTCAATAGATAGGTATCCTCCCAACTGCTGGTGGCTGTGGTATTGGTTCACTCTAGAGCTGTGTAACTTATTTTTTTTTAAAGTTAAAATATTTGCTGAAGGGATGTTACTAAGTCCTCTTAGCCAGTCATTTCACATTTCACAAAAGTGGTCATATGTGATCAATTGCTTTCACCCAATGGTCAAGGACCTACAATCCTCTGAAGTTAATTAAGAAACTCCTTTTCCCAAAAAGAGAAAAGATGTGTAAACACATCTTTACACTGGCCAAAGTCTGAAAGTGGCATACCTTTTTGTAATTTGCAAATAGGTCACTTACAGTATTAGCCAATGAAGGTTTAGTGCTCTTTATAAACTATAAAAGGCATATTCTAAGTTGTTCACTTTCTATGAGCTCTAAGTATGTCACTCAGTGTTATCATTCAATGCCTGAAAAAGGTGAAAGTTTGAAATGGACTTTATCCCTTACCCATGCATACAGTTCCTGTAATTAATTTGTGATAACACCAGGATGTCTGTGGAGCTAGCATTCTTCATATTTCATACAATTAATTTTCTAATACAGTAATATTCAGTTTATGTAAGATAAGCGTGCATAATGGGGCAGCTAGGTGGCGCAGTGGAAAGAGCAATAGTAACAGAACATTCCTTCTTACGTCTGTGGTACAGACCATCTGCATCATTGGGAAGAGTGAATACATACAGAGTTTGCATTAGTAGAGAAAAACACACAAAGGGAACACACATCTCCAAGATAATTCATATCCCAGGACCTCAAAAGTCTTTTCTGTTCTCATGGATTTCTCACATTGTTCCTGTATCAGATGGCATCTTGCCAGTGGCCTCCCTGGTCTGTTCTTCTCCTTTGGTTCTTTTTGAACCTGCTTTTATTCTTGACAAGTGATCTCCTATTACTATGTTTGGTAGGAGTTGAGAGAGAAACTACTTCTCTCCCTCCCCCTACCCCATTTGTAAAATAAAGAGTAAATCCTCAAAACTTGATTCCTTTTAGAATAAGCTGGCTTTCTTCTGGACAGTCATATCTCACTGTCTCAACTCACTTTACAGTTGTCCGTTTTATATTGGTTGGGTGTAGCTGATTCTCTCAGCCAGTCAGTAGATATTTCCTTCATGTTGTCAGTTGGCTTCATCCAGTAGCCAAGGCCCTATAATCTATTAAATTTATTAAGGAGCCTCTTAACACCTTTAATAGGAAAAAGCATGTTGGAAAGGGGCATTCCCTTTCTGATTTGTGAATGAACCATTAAAAATTTCATTTCATTTATAAGCCAGAATGAGCCAGTCTAAATTTTATGCTATTTATTTGTAGTCTATGAATAGACCACTCTAGTGGTTTCAAGGTCTCGAAAAGGGCAAAGTTTGAAATAGTCTTTGCTTTGCTCCCTTACACAAATAATTTGAAGAAAAATAAATGACATTTCCCACTTAATACGTACACATGCATGCATATGTGTACGTGTATATGTATATGAGATGAGGGATGGGCAAAACTTTTGGGATTACAATTCAGTGTTTTTATTTAAGAGAACACTGCCTCTTTCTGTCATTTTGCCATTTCAGCTTAGTTTTGTTCTAATCTTAATAGCCTTAATTAACTAAACAATTAATGATTCTCATATCCATGGATTCCTCTACATGCATATCTTTTCTATCCTCTCTTTTTTTAAAATTAAATCTAGAATTGTCAAAATAAGAGGGAAAAAGTATAAAAACAGTTTCCCCCTGTTTTTTCAGAGTTATTCGAGGGCTGTCAACTAAGGCTTTGCATAATCTTACTCCACAAGCACCAGAATATATTACAGCCATTGGTAAGTATCAGTCACTGTTTTGTATACCTGACACTGCCTTAAAATCAACCCCCATTCTTCCTATAAAACTGATAAATAGTGACTATGATCACATTTATGTTGTTTGGAGGCATAGTTAATTCTTCAGAAATCAAGGTTTTCTGTTTGATCTATTGCTGGTAAGTATACAAGGGAAAGCATATCTGCCTAATGTGCAAGGCCAACTCTCATTTGTTGTAGAACTTAACCAAGAAAGTGTCAGCCCTTTTAGACCAATAGGTTTTTGTTCAATAAATGAAAATGCACTTACTAAGTGCGTACCTATGTACTAGGCACTGGGGTACAAATTAAAAATCAGAAGAATTCAGTACCAGGGAAGATAGCAAGACCCAGGAGTTCTCTTATACAGCGACAGATTAGATCATTGCCCAGGAATCAAGAAAGCATAGTAGTAGGGAGGATGGCAAGTCCTGATGTTCCTTAGGGTATAGCAGCAACTCCCTGCTTATGAGAGTGTTGTTAATGGCCATTCCATTTCTGCATCCGAGGTATTGAAGGAGCATGGGTTCATGACTTTTGGGAAGGGGAATTTATGGTAGTGTTTAGGTGAAGTGTAGTGTTTTAGCTTCTTTCTGCAGGGGTTGGGATGGGGGTGTAGGAAGAGGTCAACGCCACCTAGCTGCCCTCAAGATAATATTTGTAAAGCATTTAACAGTGCCTAGCATATAGTCAACAAATATATGTTTGCCACCCTCTTATTAAAAAAAAAAACAGCCCAAAACTCAGTGGATAGAGTGCTGGGCCTGGAAGATTCATCTTCCTTAGTTCATATGGCCCCAGACACTTACTAGGTATGTGATCCTGGGCAAATCACTTAATTCTGTTTTCCTCAGTTTCCTCGTCTATAAAATGAGCTGGAGAAGGAAATGGCAAACTATTCCATCATCTTTGCTAAGAAATAGGGTCATGAAGAGATGGACACGACTGATAAACATCTCAACAATCAGAATTCAAGTCATGTGACCAACAAGATGGGAGGCTAGACACTTTCTTCATCCTCATGACTTCTCAGACTTCTCCAAAATGGGAATTATGTGTGAGAAATAGGAGTCACCTGTCTCCATGATCAAAGACATCAGGGACCATGGGGTAAAAATATGATGAACAAAAGAGAAGGCTAATCCCTAACCCGTAATGTCCTAATTCAGCACCCCTTCAGTCTCCAGATGCCACATTCCGGCAGGGCTGTACAAGCTGACTTTTAATAGAACTCAGTTCTACCAACTGTCCTACTCCTCCCCTCCTTCTTGCACCCTGGGAAACCAAAAGGCAAAAGTTTAACTCTAGTTGGGACTGCAACATGGCAGTATTCTGTGCTGTAACAATAATCGGTGAGAGAACTGAGGGAAAAAGGAAACTGGGACAGGATGTCAGCATATGTGGTATTCTAGGTAGCTTGTGGGAAAGACAACTGGCATCCTTGAGGGAGAGACCAAAGCTGGTGAAATGTGACCTGCACAGTATGGGAAGAAGCTAAAATGACTTTGAGTGTAGCCTCTGCGATAACCACCATTTCAGAGGAGTGAATCATAAACTGAGTAATTGGGGAACATAAGGGGGAAAAAAATCGTGAAATGAAACCAAGATCTCAGGATGACGAAAACTTAGTTGAAGGTCTTGATCACAAGTAAATAAACCAGAAGAGAAAATAATAATAATAGAAGTAAATATGGCTTCCAGATCAGCTAAATTAGTCTAGCCGTCAATGAGCAAATATTCTAAGACAAAGGAAAATAAATGTACAGCTAATGAGGCAGAAGAACCCATTGATTCCTGGGAAAACATGGAACCATAGCAGAGTGTAATTGGCAGAATAGAAAACCTTATTTCAGGTGTCAATTTTACAAAAAAAAACAGGAAAAAATGATTGGGAAGTCAAATACATAGAAGTGAAGGATAATCTGGAAGTTGAGAAGCAAAAAGCAATAATATCAAAAGAAAAAAAAGATAGATCTTGAAGACAGCATGCATACAATCAAAGAATTGAATATATATATTATATATTTTCCAGTAGAATGAAATAAATAAAAAAATCTGAACACCATGATATAAGAAATACAAAAAGAAAACTGCAGAACTTTTGAACACAGAAAACAAAGTGTCATTTGAGACAATCTATTGATCACCTCCATGAAAACAAACAAACAAAAAAACTGAATATTGGAAATTCTTAAAGTCTTTGTGGTTAAATTTAATGAATTGATGATTTCCACGACAAACAACAAACGTGAGTAAGTAGGACAAAAACCTTCAAGTATAAAAGAAATCAAATTCGAGTAAGACAGGATTATTTTGTAATAATAGAATGACTAGAAGCTAGAAAATGCAGGAGGAAATGAAAAAAATGTGTTCTGAAGCATAAAGCTCAAGATTCGGTGCAAAGAGATCTACCTTAGATTGTGAACTCCTTCAGCACAGGGCCTGCCTTTTTGTCCCCCCCCCCCCGTTTTTTTTTTTTTTGGTATTCCCGGTGCTTAGCATATGGCACACACTTCATAAATGTTTATTGATTGACTGACCTGTCCTGCACATTTCAACCTAATAACCATAAATGAAAAAAGGATAGATATTCCAAAAAAACCCCAAGAAAACAACAACAAAAAACAGATTTTGAAGCATTCATGCATAGAAAATCACACCTTAACAGACAGCTCAGAAACAGAAATACAAGAAAGCTAAACAAATACAGTAATCCAGGAAAACACATAAATAATAAATTACCCTCAGAAAAAAAAGGAAAAAAAATCTTAAAAAAAGAAAGAAACCTGTAGGTTAAACAAGAAGTAAACAACAACAGAAAAGCTCTAAGGTATCTTTCTGAAAGCATGCAAAGAGACAAGACAGAAATGATGATAGAAAAACAAGCCTGTCATGAACTAAATCTCTCAACACCTCATTTATAGGTAAATCACCTAAATTGCAGAATCAGTGGATACATAAAAGTAGAGAGAGGAGGAGTAAGAAAAAAAAGGGAAATATGTGATACATTATAATCAAGTAAAATGTTTACAATGAAGAGAACTCATTAATTTAATATCTCAGGAAGAAGAGGGCATATAGGTGAATGGTGTGGAGGTAAAGGGGAGTATTAACTTGTTTTACTGGTATGAAGATATCTCAGTGAAGGACATTCCCATGGAAGAAGAGAGGTATTTTATGAATGGAATTTAGGACCTTGTAGTGGCTATAGATTTCAGGTATTTGGCTTTTAGAGAGACTTTGTTTCCTGCCTGAGCAGAAAGCAAATTAATACTTCTAGGGGCAGCTGTCACCCAGAAGAATGGGAAGGAATAGGCCTAAATTGATTAAATAGTCAAATAAAAGGAAAAAGTGAGATTGGATATGAAAACAAAACCCCACAATCTTTTGCTTATAAGAAACACACCTTAAAAAACAAAGACATACACAGAATAAAAATGAGAGGTTGGAACAAAATTTACTATGCATCAGAATGAGTGTAAATAGAAATTGTTTCTGTTCTAGCCAGAAACTCTGAGGGTTTTTCTCTCTGACTACCCTCCCCTCCCAGTTGATTCTTTTGTGAAGGCAAACTAGGCCATCCTTTGCCTCAGTTCTTACCTAGCATTTAATCACTGAATGGATGTTGCCTAAGACAAGCTGAGACCTAGGAAATACATTAGCTTAAAAGGCCAAGGTCCCCCGCCGCATCTGAGGCCATCTCCAGCCGTCCTGACCTGTGTCATGCCACTGGACTGTGATGACTGTGGAAGAGAGAGACTGATCACTTTGTATAGCCCTGCATCACTTAAATGTAACTCACTTGGAAGTCAAGATATCACCCTCCCACTGTCATTGGTCTTCTTCAAGAATGACCAACAACAACGACAACAACAAGCACATATCCCAGTGACATAAAAAAGGGAGATAGGAAGGATCTATTTGTACAAAAAATATTTATAACAGCCCTTTTGGTGGTGGCTTAAGAATTGGAAATCGATCGGGTTCCCATAAATTGGGAAATGGCTAAACAAGCTGTGGTATATGATTGTTATGGTTTGTGCTATAAGAAATGACAAGCAGGATGATTTCAAAAAAACCTAGAAACACTTACATGAACTTACACAAAGTGAAGTGAGCAGAACCAAAATAATTGTTGCACAGTAACAGCAATATTGTACAATGTATGACAACTATTCTCAGCAATGCAATTATCCAAGACATTTCCAAGGACTAATGAAGAAGCATACTATCCACCTCCAGAGAAAGAACTGATAGTGTCTAAATACAGACTGAAGCATGCTATTTTCACTTCCTTTCTTTCATCCTTTTTTTTAAATTTAACTCTTCTTGTATAAAATAATTAATATTGCAATATTTTATATGTATATGCACATGTATAACCTGTAGCTAATTGCTTACCATCTCAGGGAGGAAGGAGGGGAAGGAGTAATAGAATTTGGAACTCAGAACTTAAAAATAAAAATCAAATGTTAAAAAATTGTTTTAACGTGTAATTGGGGGAAAAATTAAAATATATATTAATAAAAAAAAGTGATGAGCTTATCCTGGGAGAGAGTAGCACATGCAAAGTGGGGTGATATATAGGATGAATATGATGCTCATAGAAAGGCATGAGAAGATTTATATAAATTGGTACAAGATAAAGTAAGCAGAACCAGGAAGATAGTGTTTATATAGTAATATTGTATTTATATGATTTATATATAATTATAATATGTATAACATTTATTTATAGTAATTTATATAATATATAATAATTATTATAGCAATGGACATGGAAAGAATACCCAAAAGAAAAACTTAAATTGGTGAAATTGTAATGACCAATTTTGGCCCAAAGAAAATGATGAGAAGGTCCTGCATACCCAACTTTGTAGAATACTGCAAAAAGACTTTTTCGGTGTATTGGTTAGTTTTGCTTAACTGTATTTTATTCCTTTTTTATTCTTTGTAATTACGGATGGCTTTCTTTGAGGGGCCTAGGGAGAGATATCTAGGGAAATGTAGATAATATATAAAAACAAAATATATCAATAAAATGTATTTTAAAATATAAAGTCTAGTGTATCATGAGATCACCATTTTTCCCCATTCTTAACTATTCTTCTCTGTTTTAGTCAATGTTTAACTATTTCTATGTCAGTTCTGTTCCGTATGTCAGTGCTTGTAAATAAAAATTATTCTGATCAGCAACATTATCTTCTAATGCTGACAAACACACAAGTAATGTTGACAGTTGTGTTGTTAAGAGCAGTTGAAATACATAATAGCACAGTAGAAATACTATTCCTAAAAAACTTCCTTTGTGCTAGGTGAAAGTAAGTATCTCTTGACTGATAATGCACTTATTATAAATGAATGTATCTCAGCATGGTCATCTTAGTTATATGCTACTTTACATAGTTTAAATTTTTTGCAGTCTTAGAGAAGTACCCAATCTAAGATCAGGTTTTTCATGTATTTTTAGGTATTCGTAACTGAGTGGTACCGTTTTTTTTTAGTTGAGTTTCAATCAGATCACAGTTAAAATTATTGATGTGGCTTGGTCATTTTATTAATATGTGATATGATATTAATATCAATGACATGACATTAATATAATATATAGTGTATATTATATGTACTATAATATGCAATAATATTGATGATATATTAATATTACTGTGGTGATATTATAGAACTCATCAGTATCCTCTGGGTAGTAAATGGAAATTTAAATCAATAAGATGCTAGATATTACTATGCACTTATTTTATTGTCATGAGTGAAGCTAGATTTTTTTTAGAGCTTTAGAGTTTTGTATTTAATTTTCTATATGTTCTGTCAACAAGTTCTTGACTATTTTGCAGTTTTCCCACGGCTATTGCCTTTAGCTGTGTGCATGGATTTACATACTCGTCATGGAGCTATTCTTGCCTGTGCTGAGATCACTTATGCCCTGTACAAGCTAGCAGCTGCGAAAAATAGGTATAAAGGCATTTATATGCACATTTTTTTCATTTGTAATCTTTGTTAAACCTCCTTATGCAATTATTTGTGACTTTTGTTTGATCCATATCCATCCATTTTAATTTTAGTTCATTTACTCCACCATTGCAAAGTCTTCAGGTTCCTACATTTTACCTAGTAAGGCTAGTATCTCTCTTGATAAGTCATGTACTATTTATGGAACTACTTGTGCCATCACAGCTGAAACACAAAAGTTTCTGTTAAATAAATAGACTAACTACTATATATTCAATGATGCTTATTTATCAGAAATACATGTATATTTCCAGTGTCCCCAGCAGTTGCCAAGATCCAATATATGATCATTTGTTATCTGATACAAGTTATAAACTCAAGCTCAACTCAGTTATCCAGGGATTAGTAATGAGTAGTTTGAATGGTTTTTTTTTAAAGTCTCTTATTTTCTTGATGATAGCTTTGTGATCTTTGGCTTTAGGTAATTAGGTTTCATAACTTTTAGAGAATGTAAAAGTTCAGAAGAAAAGCAAGGGAAAGAAAAGAGGAGTGGAAACTATACTACAAAGAAGTGAGCTGAGGGGAGCTATGTACAAATACAGGCCTGTAACAGGTTGGGCTTTTTAAGGAATTATTTTCAGAATATGTATATCTGCCAGAAAGTGTTGCTTGTATTATACAGCAGCCTAGTAGTCAGTGACATACTGTACTTATTCCAGTTTTGATTTGGTGTTCCTCAGTCTTCCTATCACTTTTAGTTGTCCTGTCATTTTGTTGTTGGCTTCACCTCCACTCCCATCTGCTGAATCGACTGTATTCATCTTGGCCTGCCAACTTCATTTCTGGTCCCTGCTAATTCTTCTTATGTGAGAACTGTTGTCATGCACCAGTCAACCACCATGTGTTGACTCTTAGTTGCTTCTCTTCAACTCTGATGCTATTATCTAACAGTTTCCTCCCTTCTTCCCTTTAGCCTCAGTTACATTTTGTCTGTGTTGGCTTCAGTTGTAACTCCTTTTTAGTTAATCCCAATTGGTTAGACTGATAAATTTACTGCAGGGATAGACTTAAAGGTCAGGGTGATAATGGCTGCATGTTAGTTCCCTTGTTTAAATGTATCTAACATTAAGTGCCTACTATGTTAATAACATTAAAATTTCAATAATTAGAGATGAATGAAGTTAATAAATTTCACTTGAAAATCAAATACCAGAAATGGGATGACATTCTTTAGTTGAGATTGCTTTAACGAATAGAACTTTTAATTGAGGGGAGGATATGAAGAGAGCAAAGTTTTGAGCATGAAGTACTTTGGGGAATAGAGCAGACCTGGGTGTGGTGGTATATGTTGAAGTTATCAATAACCAGTATTTAGTAAACCCTATGTTATGTACCCAGCACTGTGCTAAGTATTTGAGGATATGAAGACAAAAATGAAACTGTCCTTATTTTCAAGGAACTTAATTCAATTTTTAGGAAGCACAAAATGTATCAGTGTGTAGCATTCAGTACCTTCCAGGCATGGAAGATATGTTTATTCATTAATACTATTTCATCCAGTATAATGTAAGCTCTTTGCAGACCGTGAATCTTTCATTTTTATCTTTACATCCGCAGTGTTTAGGAGTACTGTGCTTGGTAAATGGTATCATATAATAAATGCTTACTGATTGACCAATAACCTTAAATGTAGTTACAAACCTAGACCTTCTGTATTTTCCAAATTGCTTCATGTTCAAAAATGTTCTTTTTCCTTTTCATCTTCCACTCAGTTGAAATTCCATTTCTGTATATTCATAGATATTTATATAAGTATATATGTCATGCATCAAGGCAGCTAAAAAGCTCAGTGAATAGAGCTCTGGGTCTGGAGTCAGTTCAAGTGTAGCCTGAACACTTACTAATAATTGTGTGACATTGGGAAAGTCACTTATCCTCTGCCTTAATCCACTGGAGGAGGAAATGGCTAACCACTCTAGTATCTTTGCCAAGAAAACTCCAGTGATAGTATTAATATGCTCTACTTCACATGGTCACAAAGAGTCAGACATGGTCAAACAACTTAATAACAACAAAATATGTTGTGTGTTGTAGGAAGGCAGTAAATAACTTGACATGTGGAATATTTACAAGGAGTTAGGTTACAACAGAAAGGGAAATAAGAGGATATCAAAGGTAAACCACCTCTTTCCAAATCTTGCTTAGAGTTGTCTGTAAAAGCTTTTTAAAAAAAATTTATTTTATTAATTTATTTTGATTTATCAACAATCACTTCCATATGCTTTTGAGTTTAAAATTTTTCTCCCCCTTCCTCCCCACTACCCTCCCCAAGATGGTACACAATCTGATATAGGCTATACATTTACATTCCTATTAAACGTATTTTCACATTAGTGATGTTTGTAAGTAAAAATTAAAACCAATAGGAGGAACCATCAAAAAGAGGAAACGAAACTCAACAGAAGAGAAGAAAAAGATAGCAATTCAACTTCCGTAGTTCTTTCTTTGGATGTGGATAGCATTTTCCATCACGAGGCCTTTGGAGATGTCTTAGATCCTTGTATTTCTGGGAAGGGTTAAGTTTATCAATATTAGTCATCACACAGTGTGGCTGTTATTGTGTACAAGGTTCTCTTGGTTCTGCTCACTTCACTTAGCATCAGACCATACAGGTCTTTCCAGGTTTTTCTGAAGTCAGACTGTTCATCATTTCTTATAGCACAATAATATTCTATTACATTCATATACCATGACTTGCTCAGCTATTCCCTGATTGATGGGCATCTTCTCAATTTCCAATTCTTTGCCACCACAAAAAGAGCTGCTGTGAATATTTTTGTACATGTGGGTCCTTTTCCCATTTGTATGATCTCTTTGGGATATAGCCCTAGAAATGTTATTGCTGGGTCAAAGGGAATGCACATTTTTATAGCCCTTTGGGCATAGTTCCAAATTGTTCTCCAAAATGGTTGGATCATTTCACAACTCCACCAGCAATGCATTAGTGTTCCAATTTTCCCACATCTTCTCCAGCATTTATCATTTTCCTGTTTTGTCATGTTGGGCAATCTGATAGGTGTGATGTGATACCTCAGAGTTGTTTCTTTTTAACTCATGATTTCCATGCTGTTAGGGGAGAGAACTCAGGCTGACAATATTAGTACCATAATTCAGTTATATTATAGCCTTTTTTGGGTATGTCAGCTAATCTAACAATCATTTATGGCCTTATTTCTATGGGAAAAAGACTTTCCAGTTTCAAACAATTGACTTGGGAAATTTTGTAGCATAATCATAATATTGTTAATTCACATTTATATAACACTTTCAAGGTTTACAAAACATTTTTCTCATAGCAGTCCTAAGAGGAAGATAACATATTATTATTTCTATTTTATAACTGTGAAAACTAAGATTCATAGAGGATGATAATTGCCTTATGTCATATAACTAATTATCAGTTGCGATTTTAACCCAGATCTCCCCATACTCCAAGTCAGACAGTCTTTGAGAAAAATTTTTTCTGTATAAAAATTAGAAAATCACCAACATGAACATGGAGGGGTTCAATTGTACTTCTACTACATATAGCTTGTTTCTTTTACTCTACATTACTTTTTTTTTTTTTGGTTAGGCAGTGGGGTTAAGTCACTGGCCCAAGGTCACACAGCTAGTAAGTGTTGTGTGTCTGAGGCTGGATTTGAACTCAGGTCCTCCTGAATCCAGGGCTGGTGCTCTATCCACTGCTCCACCTAGCTGCCCCTATACATTACATTTAAAGTAATAAAACCAACATTGCCCTTCTCTTTTCCTCTATATTTTTTAAAGGGCAGCTAGGTTATGCAGTGGATTGAACTCTGGGCCTGCCATCAGGAAGATCTGAGTTCAAATCTGGCCTCAGATACTAGCTGTGTGTGACTCTGGACAAGTCACTTAACCCTGTTTGCCTCAATTTCCTCATTTGTAAAATCACCTGGAGAAGGAAATGGCAAACCACTCCAATATCTTTGCCAAGAAAACCCCAGATGAGGTCATAAAGAGTTGGATAGGATTGAAGCTACTGAACAACAAAAATTTTAATGGTCTCTCTCTCTGTCTCTCTCTCTTTCTCTCTTGAGTATTATCCCTTTCCTTTCCTACTCTTCACCCAAGCTGTCCCTGTCCTTCCACCCCCCAAAATCCTGTTATTCACTGACACAAAAGTATAATCAAGCAAAATAAATTTGTGGCATATAGGTGATTCTGAAAATACATACCTCAATCCTTCATCTCTTCACACGAGGTGGATAAGGAATATTTTATTATCAGTCTCCTGGTTGTATGATTGTTCTTTGGATTGATAATAATAACAATAACTAGCATTTATATGGCATCTTAAAGTTTGCAAAGCATTTTATAAATATTATCTTATTTAGTCCTTACAACAACCCTGTATGGTAAGTGATACAATTATTCCCATTTTAGAGATGAAAAATTAAGGCTAAGAGAGGTTAAGTGACTTGCCTAGGACCTAGTAAGTGTCTGAGGCAGTAATGAACTGAGGTTTTCCTGACTCTGAATCCAGAATGCTATTTTAATCACTATGCCACCTAGCTCCTCTGATCTTAAGATCCAAATTCTTGTCTTTACCAGTGTTTTTCTTTACAATATTATTGTTATATAAATAGTTCTCAATGTTCTGCTTGCTCCCTTTGCTCTATAACAGTTCCTTATAAGACTTCTCAGAGGTTTCTCTAAATTAAAGTCTCCAATTATTATATTTTTCCTGTCTTTTCTGTTAACTTAGGAGATCTTAATCTTTTTTGTGTCATGGACACCATTGGTAGTCAGAATAAAATAGATAGGCTTACAGAGGAAACTATTTAAGCTGAAATAAATTTATCAAAATATTTTTTAAAACTAAGTACCCCTGTATTAAGGGTTTTTCCTTCAAATATCTATCTTGGTACTGTGTCATTTGGTGCATGTGTATTAAGAATTTTTATTATTTAGTTGTCTGTGGTTCCTTGAAGCATAATGTAATTTTCTTGCTTATTTTTTTTTAAATCATGTCAGTTCTTGCTGTTTCCTTGTCCAAGATCATGGTTTTTTCCACTTAAAAAATAACTTCTTTCTGGTTCTTCTTTAGAACTCTGTGTGAATATTTGCCTTAAATGTTTTTCTTATGAATAATTTGATTTTGGATTCTTTCTTTCTTTCTTTCTTTCTTTCTTTCTTTCTTTCTTTCTTTCTTTCTTTCTTTCTTTCTTTCTTTCTTTCTTTCTTTCTTTCTTTCCTACATTCTGCTATGTGCCTACATTTTGTGAGAAGTTCATCTCATTTACATTCAGTGAGATTTGTTAATTTTACATCTCTGTCCATTATATTTTTTATTTCTTCTTCCCCTCCTAGTCCCTTCTTTACAAAGAAGGTTGCACACATAAGGAAGGAATTTGACAAACATTAGCAGTCTATTATTGAAGTGGTCTTTTCCTACTCCTCAGACCCTCTTCTCTTTAGCAAGCCCAGTCAGTGATCCCTGGTTCTCTCCCTTTTTCTCTTTCTTTAAGTATCTTTTATGTTCCGTCTTCCTAAGTTGAAATTTAAAGTTTGTTTTACTTTTTGTCTTTTACCCTCCCTCTCTTTTTTCTGTCTCTCCTTGTATTCCTATTGAGTATAATGTATTTCTACTCCAAATGCTGTGTGTGTGTGTGTGTGTGTGTGTGTGTGTGTGTGTGTGTGTGTATTCGATCCTCCTTTATCCAGTTTTGATAAGAATGAGGTCATGAGATATCTATTCCCTTCATGCCCTACTTCATATGCTTAATCTTTTCAGTTATACGTCTTTATGTGAAATACTAAGTTCTTCTCCTAAATTTCTTTCCCAAATTAATTCACTACAATATTCCTTTTCCTCTTTCTTTTCTTTCCTCTCTCAAAACCAACAGACTAGAATAAAATCACGTATAGGCCCCAGCTCTGTTATTCAGTTAGCTCCCTTTCTGGTACTTGAGCACATTAGGATGCTGAAAAGACACTTGTCTCCCTTTTTGTCCCCTAATTTTGTTCTGTTGTAGTAGGGCCCGAATTTGACTTGAGGTACCTGATCATTGGAGCTTGGAGTTTCAATGGAGTTGATTCTTGATGTGCCTGTTCTTAAACTTGGCAGACAGTGTTGGTAGACTTCTCTCTAGTTTTCACCTCTACTAGCTTTCAGCCAAGTTATGAAAGCTAATTTCTCTCATATCCTGTCTTTACCTTTAAAGCTTTTGCATTTACCTGAATTGGCACTAGCTTCCCCCATCCAACCCCTGTATCAGACTCCACCTTTTTCTGACTATGTTCTTGTTCTGGACTAGACAGAATAGCTACTTTTAGTTTTCAAATATTTTTATCATTGATCTTCCTAGGGCCATTTTCAGATATTTTATTGGAGTTTATATTATAAAGCAGTGCGTTTGGTTTTTTTTTTTTTTGGTCCATGTTACCATCTTAATTGGAAGGCCCAAAACTTTTTCCAGTGGTTATAGTGCCTTTAAGTTGAGGGCTTCCTGTATAGTAAAATCTAAACATCTGTAGTTTGACTATTTTGTTCCAGATTTTGAGTGAATCTGAAAGGGACCTATAGAAAGGTTTGAAATGCAGTTGGTAGAAAAGTGACAAGCTATCTTAGAAAATGACAGCTTGTATGTTACGATACTGGCCAGAGAATTAATCAAAGAAGTATTCAGATATTTTTTCAATAAACATAAACATGTTCTTTGTTCTTATTGATCTAAGCAAATGAATTTTCTATCAGTTAAATTAGTATTTACTGAATCAGCATGGGTGTTTAAAGACTTTTTCATGCCTTTGGGACAGTCATCAGTTAATTTTCTGAACTACAGTGAGATGACAGTAGCATTGAACTTTTAAATCTCTCTCTTTTTAAAAAATTAAATGTACAAATTTGAATATTGGATAAGTGAACACATTCTTCCTAATAAGGGTAACTTTTACACAACTGTAAATCAAGCTGTAAAAGGCTGTCCTTTCTTTTGACTTTTCTGCAAACAACATAGTCTGAAAAGAGTTAATATCAATCAATTATTTATTAAGTACTTACTGTGTGCCAGGCTTACTATGTGTGGAGTGGTTTGCCATTTCCTTCTCCAGATGAGAAACTGAGGCAGACGAGGTTAAGTGATTTGTTCATGGTCACACAGGTAGTAAAGTGTCTGACGTCAGATTTGAACTTCTGACTCCAGGCTTGGCACTCTATTCATTGTGCCACTTAGCTGCCCTCATATAAAAGATGAGATTTTAGTTGGGACTTAATAGAAGCCAGGTAAGTCAGGGATGAATATAACCTGCCATCATCATGTCAGTGAAACTATGGGGCATCTCATTCTTTTTTTAATTGAATTTTACTTTAGACTCCAACACCAGAACACAAATACAGAATCGAGAAAAGAAGAAGAAAAAACATACCATGAACTTAAATATCGGAACTTAATTACAAAGTAAGAAAAGAAAAAAACATGTCATGTGCATAGGAGAACATAGGAGAGGATTCAAAATATATAATGATAAATTTTCATTTCAAGAAAGCCTATATAATAAATACTACATGTTGTGTTGAGAACTGTCCATCTTTTCTTTGCTTCCTTGTAAGTTTTCTTTTGTTCTATGCTATGCACTTTTTTTAAAACCCCCCCCCCGAAGGCTACAATTGAGTGTGGATATATTTCTCTATAGCTATAGATATATACATATACATATATATACATATGTACTTACATAGATAGACATATACTTTCCCAAACAAATTATGTTCCTAATCTTTGTGCATATCTCTTGTTTCCTATCCCTTCTGACTCCTCTACTTTACTTCTACCCATTACATTGCCCTTCTATTACTTAGCCTACTCCCATCTCATTCTTAAATAAAGTTTCTCTGTTCAGTGATTTAAAAAAAAAAAGATATTTGACTTTCCATCTAGTTAGATTCTAGTTTCCTAGGCACAGGTGGTATAAGTTCTCCTACATCCTTCATATTAAAATAATGAAGATTTCTTCTTAAAAATTATCTCCACAGGGATAGTTGGATTTTAGGCTACTAAAATCCAACTATATTTAACACAATTTGCTATTCTTATTTATCACAAAGAGCTCTTCTTAACCTGTGATTTTTTGTTATTATGTTATCTGACTTGATAATTTTAATATACTCTGTATGAAGTTTTTCATCTTTTATAATTTTGCAGGCCAATTACAGATTATTTGGATGAAAAGTCACTGGAGGGACTTAAACAGATCCACCAGAGGGTTTGTATCCATATTTGTTTTTTCAAAGCAGTACTATGGCCTGAATATCTACTTCTTATACAACTATTGTATCAGAATAGAAAATATTTCTTGCTTCCAGTTCTGATGAAGTTATTAGCCAGCCAGGAGTTATACTTAATGATGATAACAGCATTACCTTAAAATTATTTTGAACATTCTGAATTCATCTGAATGTTAATAATAATTACACATAATATTTTATACAGTATTTTATGGTTTGCAAAATGCTTTACAAATATGATCTCATTTTATCCTAAGAAGAATGCTGAGAGGTAGGTCCTATTGTTAGTCCATTTTATAGATGAGGAAATTGAGGCAGACAGAGATTAAAGATCACACAGCAACTAAATGTCTGAGGCTAGATTTGAATTCAGATTTTCTGTTATCTAGCTGCCTAATAATACAAAAGAAGTAGTTTTGGTGATGGTGGTGGTGGTGGTTGTAGTAGTAGTAGTAGTAGTAGTAGTAGTGCTGATGATGATGAAGATAATGATTATAGTGAGAAATTAAGGGGAAAGAAGAGGTTGAAGTGTTATGAGAATTTTGAGGAGAGAACAACTTTTAGCATGAAAAATTAGGAAGATCTGTATAAAGGAAATGATCCTTTCAAGGGAATGGAAGGATTAGGATTTCTACTGGTAAAGTTGGGAGTGGAGTAGAAAGGGAGAGGAGCTAGACAAAGAAGATAAGAATAGTGAACGCTAAATAGTTCAGTTCAGCTGGAATATGGAGTGCTTTGGGATGGGGGACCCTGTTAAATCAAGCTGCAAAGATAGGTGAGAGGTAGATTTTGGAGGATCTTTTCAATGTGAGGCTAAATATTCCAGTTTGGATTTTAGAAAAAATTCTGGGGCATTCTTAGATGACAAGGGAGGATAGTAATCATATCTGTAGAAGCGAGAATAGCAAAATTGAAAGAATTTAGAGGTGTTTTTTTAAATAATTTTTTAAAATTCCCCCCAAGGAAAGCTTATTTTCTTTATGATATTCCTATTCATTGTTATTACTTGAGTTCAGATTTTTTGTGATCTTTGTGATCTTGTGTCCCTTCTTTTAATCATCTACAAATTGTAGATAGTACTAATTGTGTCATATTGATTTATCAGTGGATGAGACATTACAGAACATCTAGTCTAGCCCCTTGGTTTTTACAGGAAGAAATAGAGCTCTAGAATGATGCAATCACTTACTTACCCAAGTAGTACAGATAGTGGTACAGAGGTGGGATCTGACTCAGGTTCTCTGACTAGCAGTTATCAAGACTACCATGAAGATGAATGCAGTTGTGCATAGTAAGTTCTTTGAAGTCATAATGGAGTTATCTAATTCAAGGAGAATCATCTTTCTAAAACCAGAAAAACTCCAAAAATTGCTTTAATTTTGAGACCTTTCCATATTAACCTCTACTTTATATTTCCCATTATGATTCAAAGCAACAAATGTAATTTTATATTTGTTTAAAAATTAAAACATTTTCCATCATTTGTTTTTAGCTTTATGATCGCCAACTGTACAGGTAAGTGGGACATTAAAACAACAACATGATTTCTTATTGCTCTTGTGTGCCTTAAAAACAGATTCAAATTCTGACTTCTTTATAATTTATTGAGTAAAAGTTTGAACTATTTATAGTTCTTTAAATTCTTCAGGCAATCAACAGGCATTTATTAAGTACTTTCTTTAGATTCTTGGTTTACAAGTACATAGAATAAAACAACCTTTCCTTGCAAAAAACTTGCATTCTAATGTTGAAAAGACAACATACATATAGTTTTAAGCTATTTAATAGGTATTAAAGTTTATACCTGTACTAGGAGATTAAGAACAGTATGTGTATAAACATATACAGCATCAATATAGAGTGAAAGTAGTGAAATATATGGTTTTGAAGGGATAGCAGTAGCAGTTGGCAGGGGGTGGGGGGTGGGATCAGAAAGTGTTCATGCAGTAGATGTTGCTTGAACTGTGACTTAAACGAAGAGATACACTCTAATGCAGCGGTGAGGAGGGAGTACAATGCAGGAATGTGAGACAGTGAGATTGTGTAGTATGTATGAGAAAAAGAAAACCATTATACTATTTGTACTCACTTAGCTCCCAAATTCAATTTAATCTTACTAAGACAGATTTGAAAAAAGTAGGATTTAAGCAGTAGATAAGTGGTTAAAGTAAACAATTTTCCAAGGAATAATTGTAAATTAATAACAACCATGTAAAAATGCTCCACATTACTAATAGTATGATCAATGCAAATCAAGACAGCTCTGAGGTTTTACCTCACACCCAGAAAGAAAATTGGCAAAAGTAAAAAAAGATAATAATAGTCAATGCTAGAGTAGTTGTTTAGCAATGGGAACAATAATTACTCTTGCTGGAGTTCTGAATTGGTCCATCCATTATGGAAAAAACTCCAAATTACACAAAGAAAGTGATTAAAATGTCTATGTCCTTTGATCCATAGATTCTACAATTAGTATATACTCCAAGGAGATCAGTGACAAAAAAGAAATGGCTCATTCACAGAAATATTTATAGTAACACTTTTTGTAGTAGCAAGGATCTCACTACAAAGTAGATGAGTATTGACTAAGTAATAATTAGTTGTGGTATATGAATGTCATACAGTGTTACTGTACCATAAGAGTACATGAAAGGGAAGCATGGGAAAACTGATACAAAGTGAATTAAGCAGAACCAGGAAAATAATGACTATGACAATGGAAATGGAAAGAACAGCAACAAAATCCAAACTGAATGCTGTAAAATTATAAATAACCAGGTTTGGTCATTTATAATGATACTTTATCTATTTCTTTCCATAGGTGAGGCACTATGGGTTTGAAACTCTGCATGTAATGCATGACTTTTAATATGTTGTTTGGTTTTGCTGAAGTATTTTCCCCTATCTTTTTACTATTTATTATAAGGCATAGCTCTCTGAAAGTGAAATAGAAAAGAATGATACGTTGGGAAATAGGTGATATAAAAGCAAATATGAATAAGAAATTTTAAAAAGAATTTATGAAATACTTTTCAGGATAGAGGACAGGACTACTGGCCTCCATTATTTTTGCCTGGCCTTTGAGTGACCATGTAAATCTGATGATAATACAATACTAGTGCTTATTATACTAAGTGTAGTCCTGCACCCTTCAGGACTATCTCTTTATGCATTCTTATTTAGAAATTAAGATCTGCTTTTGCTCTTCACTGAATAAATACTGATTGATTTGGCATGCTTGGCATGGGCATAGTAGAAAGAACACTAATGGAAAAATCAGAGGACACAATTTCTAGTTTTTGAAACTTTAGTTTCCTTGTCCATAAAATGGAGATACCATTTTCTCCAAATAACTTACCAGGTTGTTATAAGGATCAGACAAGATCACATATGTAAAAAATTTTATAAGTTATAAAGCATTATGAAAATGTGAGCTGCTGTTGTTATTGATTGCCTTTATTATACCTTAAAACTTAAGCTTTAGGATAGAAGCAATGTATTTTCTATAGTAGGTACACAATTTCAAATGTCTGTTTTTATCCTGCTTGAACAAAGTCCTATTTATTTGGCAGTCTGAATGTGATGTAGATTTTTGGTTTAACCTTCCTAGTTAAAGTATATATACGTTAATTAGAAGACAAACTATCATTGGGAATTTTGTCATAAGTGTTTGCCCTGACAGTTTAAGTACCCAGAAGCACCATGTCTTGTTATTTGGTCATATCCTATGGATTGTTGTGGATTTTCTCAATCAGAAGGGAGTTGGCCCCTGGGAATATTTCACGCGCAATGAGTCCGTAAGACTACTGGACAAATGAAATGAGTAGCCTGACTGAAACGAAAAGGAATTTATTAGCGTACTAAGGGAGTCTGGCCCTTAGCTTTGGGTTGTTATTTTTTTTTCTCTTCCGTGAAATGAGACTCATATATGCTGGTATTATGTACTAACTGTTAAGTACCTTCATGTTAGATAAATCTTCTAAATTTGGATCACTACTGAATAGTTTCTTTGATCTCTAATGCTTTACACTCTTATACTTTGGGAGAAAAAAAGATAATAACATAAGCAAATCTATAAATATGGGCAACCTTTCTGTAACAAAGTGTCTTCAAATCTCAGTATAGTAATTAACCATGGGTTAAGAGTAACACAGAAAACAAGCTAACTATTTGTTTTGGCATAGCTTTCCCAGCAAGCAATCTGCAGAACAAGCTGAACTTGTTTAGTGATGAGTCGTCTCATACTTGTGATATATATGGTTTTCATTTCAGTGATGGCTTTTTGATATAATAATACTAGTGAGATCCAGTTGTATTGTAGGAAACCAAATTATATGTGCACTGTCTGTTTTTTTTTCCTTCCAATTTAGCTTTATATTACTGGCCTAAAATTAATAAAAAAACACCAAAGCTGATTCTGGACAGCTTACACAGAAATGTAACCTCATATATAGGTTGAAGATGTATTTGGATACTTACAGAAAGCTATTTATGTCTTCCCTGAAAGTAGTAGTGATATTAAGCCTATGAAAGTTATTTGTATTTCTTTTATACTTGTTACTTATCTCCCAGGAAAGCTTATTTTTATAAATTGTCTAGAAACCTCAAATTCATATGCCTTTTAATGGTACGAGAAAACTAGTTTGTTAGACAGTAGCATCTTAGCACATACAGTAGTGAGTATGGCCCACTCACTCTTACACAATAATCATAAGCAGTGGCTTATAATAATCATTAAACTAGAACTGAAGAGTTACAGTAGCAGTTAGAAACCAAACTTCATAACTTCTTCTGTGAGATCTTTCTGTTATTATATGTCCCTTCTAATAGCTGATTTCTATGCACAAGTGCTAGCTCCATGTTTTCTGAATGCCATTTTATTTAGTAATTTCTTCTCCATGACATATACTGATATTTTGTTGTTTAGGGTGGAAGTGGTAGCATATTTTGGTTTATTGTGCAGTTGGGATGAATGATAAAGATTAGGAGCAGAAAAGCTAAAGTTCTTCCCCTACAATACCCATCAAATGAACATAAGGGAGATTGTAGCTTTATTGTGCTAAATCAGAGACTTTATCCCCAGAAGTGTAAAAGATGCAAAATTTTATGGTTTTAGGGTCTCCATGTGTCTTAATCTTCAAAAAAGTATTAATTCTTAACAGTTTGAAAGCTTGGTAGTAATATTTCTCTTGAAAACAACTGCTGGATTTTCTGAAGTACAGTGGGAGATTCTCTGATTAGGTTCAATATTCTGTGTGCACAGAATTTGCTATTATAGCCCTACTTTGATGCTATTAGAGTCAAAGGGAATTTTGTTGTCTTTTTGACAGCTCATCAGGCAAAGGGCAGTACTTGAATATTTCTTTGTTTGATTAAGGCAATAAATTTAAATGGTATTACTTACTATAGCTTTTGGTTGTCAGTCACTTGTGTCTGACTCTTTGTGATCCCCATGGACCTATACTATCTATGGTATTTTCTTGGCAAAGATACTGGAGTGGTTTGCCATTTCTTTCTCCTGTGGATTAAACAGTTAAATGACTTGCCTAAGATTGGATTTGAATGTAGTCTTTCTGCTTCCAAGCAGGTGCTCTATCCACTGGGCCATCTAGCTGCCTCCATTATTATAGCTACCAGATTGGAAAACCAATATCATCCACTCAAAATGCTTCCTTTTGAATAGAACCACTAAAATTCTATAGTTATCAATTCTTTTGAAGATATAGTACTCTAATTAAAAACATAAAACAAAGACAGATTATGTCATAAGTATTCTGACAGCTTGGAAGGAAATTTTTTTCTAATAATATTACTTGAAGTCAAAGGAAAGTTAACCAGTTTAGCTAAATAGTATCAGAGAATACAACCTGTGTACAGAAGAAGTTCTGAATGCTTTTTGTGATGGCATGTGTAGCAGATTGGGGAATCAAAGTAAAGTTTTCTGTTCTGTTTTGGGAGGAGGTTGATGTGAAAAATGAACCCCTGTTTTGGGCATAGGGATTGAATAGCCAGACTTGTTGTTGACATTATACTGAGAGAGCTTAAGTTACCATCAACCCAAAACTAATATAAAAGTTGAATACTGCATGTCAGCAGAAGCTCTCAGCATTCTGGAAAGCTTCCAAATCGAATAGCTTTTGACACTTGAGTAAATGTTCAGCTTTATTGCTTGTGATGACACAGTCCCAAATTCAAGTACAGCACTGAAACTTTCCACTTAATACTTTTCTTCCAGATAAAGGTGAAGTTTTCTTCTTGTAAATACTGTGAGTTGTTTTAGTTTGTAGAGGGAGAAATATGAGATATTCTTTTTCATATTGTGGTAAGTAGTATAAATTTTTTTTTAGAAGAACAAATATGCTTTTAAAAAAAGTATAAATAGATGAAAAGAAGCAGCTTTTTGAAATAGTGATGTAATGGAGATTGATTATGATCTTAACCTGGAAAACTAAACATGTAGGAAGATGATGCATTTTGTTGAAAACAAAATGTTGAAGTAGGCTTTTAATGGCACA